CAGTCGTTAAGCGTCTGCCTTCAGCTCAGGTCATGATCCCAGGGTCCTGGGATCGAGCCCCGCATCGGGCTCCCTGCTCGGCGGGAAGCCTGCTTCTCTCTCTCCCACTCCCCCTGCTTGTGTCCCCTCTCGCTGTGTCTCACTCTGTCAAATAAATAAATAAAATCTTTAAAAACAAAACAAAACAAAAAAACATGTTAAAAGGAAGGACTGGAGGCTCCTGCCTAAGGGAGGGAAAATTAACAAAACAAAAACAAACCTCCCCCCAAAACAAAAAACTATTCTCACGCCTCCATTGCCCACCCCCAGGGTCCCTGAGCAAAAAAGGCAGGGCGCATGCCTTGTGTAGCTTCGGGGCCCGGGGATCGGAGCCCACATCCACCACGTAGATACGGGAGGACACGAGACAGGGCAGTATCAGCTTGTTGCGTGACTTGGTGCTGTCCCCGAAGCAGCTGCTGCAGGTGTTCCATCCCGAGTGATGCAGCTCATCCTTCAGGTTTGGCATGGGCAGCCGGTGGATGACCTAGGATGGGAGTGGGGAGGGGTGGTGCTCACCCAGACCACGCCTCTGTGATCCCTGGACCCACTTGGGCTTGGCAGCACAGCACAGCCTGGAATTCATCACTGCCCAGCACCTCAGGGGTGCCCTTGGGTGGAGAACACACTCTACAATCATACCCAAAGGAAGGTGAAGAAGGCTGGACTGGGAAGGGGCATCGCTGGGGCCAGGGCCAGAGGAAGGGTCTCAGGGTCCTCCAGTGCCCGAGCTCCACCTCACCTGGCAATAGTGGGGAGACGTGGGGTCAACGTCCACAGTGGCCAGATAATCCGGGGCCTCAGTGCCAGTGTTTCGGTAAATACAGGGCAGGTAGACAATCTCCTCCCTGGGTCCTAAAGGGTACCAAGCAGTTAGTGGGGATGGCAGGGCGGAGGGGAATGACAGGGGCGGTGCTGGATGTGCCGAGGCCGAGGTCTCAGGTCGCCCACCCCCAGTAGCGGTGGAATCAGTCGAAGGTGCTGGCCTGTAGAATTCCTTTCCGGGGGCATGGGCTCTCAGACGTTGCACACTGACCTTTCATGGCCTCCAGAGGGGTAGCGTAGCCGGGTCCACACTTCCCGCATTTTGTAGCTGTGGAAACAGTGGGGCACGTTGGTTGGACCACTCTCTGGAGGGTGAAGGCTCCCTCCCCACGTGCCACCACACACACCCCACCACTGGCCAAGGCAGACACACCGTCCCGGGTCCTGTGTCAACTGCAGCGTCATCACTGCCACCAGTCTCCCAGCCCCTCAAAGCTCTGGTGAGTGTGTACCTGTGGCAGAAGGAGCTGCACAGGTAGGACCTGAAGATGGACAGACACTCAAGCAGGACCCAGGGGAGGGCAGGCGAAGGGTGAGCGCGACAGAGGCTGGGTGGCACAGCAGTGACCACATCGACTTGCACCCCAGTCCCAGCGGCTCGCTGACTAGCCATGGGACCGCCCAGCTCAACTTCCACACCATGTGTATAAAAAGAAGGTCCCAAGAACACCACAGCGGGCTTTGAGGAGAGGTAAACAGGAAGGTGCCGTCAAGCGGGCAGCGTTGCGCTTGACCGGAGCCAGTCCGCCCGGGCTGCCCTCAGCTAGCGAGGGGGCTCGGCTCGTCCCAGCCGGTATCTCTACCGGACCTGGGGCACTTCCTGTTTTCCTCCCCTCTGGGTCCTGCCCCCAGGCTGCTGGCCAGAACCTGGATGACTTAGCCAAAGGTCTGGGAAGGAAGGGACAGGAGGCTGAAGTTCGAGGCCATAGGGCTGTTAACCACCTGGCTGTCCTTAGACCAGTTTCTCCACCCCCCCCGCCACGAGCCCCACTTCCTTTATCTGTGTTTGGTCCAGCTCTGGAGGGCTCAGAGGCCCACCCAGCAGAGCTGTAGGGTGTGGCCCTGAAGTCTGGCAAGAGAAGCCACAGGGATCTACGGCACCAAAGTCGGCGGCCAAGAAGGAGCGCCAGCAGGACCAGGCTTCAGGCAGCAGGCTTTGGGGTCTGACCGGGAGGAAGAGCTGAGGAATAGCATGCACAGAGGGAGCTGCAGGCTGAAAGAAATCCTGGACTGGAGAGCACAGACGGGGCGCTGCCTCCCTGCCCTGGCCCGCGGCCAGCGTGGCCACTGCCCTGACAGCTGGGGGGCCGCAAGTGGGGAGGTGGGAGGAGCCGGAGTCGAGCCACCACTGGTGCCTGGGCTCAGGCCCTCAGCCAGGAAACCAGGTCTCCTACTCATGGCAGCCAAGTGACTTAGGAGGCCCGGAGGTGGCAACGGCGTTTTCGAGTGCAGAAACCTGGTTTCAAGGTCCAGATCTGATATCTGCTCTCTTTACTTTCTCTTTTTCTTTGGCTAAAAGGGGGTAATAATATCTTATCTTCTTTTCTAGGTGACTATGAAAGTCAAATAAGCCAATGTATTCAGAAGTACTTTTGTAAAGGAGAAGTGCCGTATATATACGGGTAGGGCTGCGCCAGAAGTGGGGGACAGAAATCCCAGGGAGAGGACTGGGCTGGATGGGGCAGGGTGAGAGGGCCAGTCCAAAGCAACGAAGGAGACTTGTGCCAGGGCTTGGCACAGGAGGCAAGGGGGTGAGGAAGGAGGTTGCTGGACACAGGACAGAAGGAAATTCAAAACTCCAAGACATCAAGACAGAGACAGGAAACCCGCAAAGCCGAACAGAGACAGACAGAAGGTGTGAGGGAGGTGCTGCCGGCTGCGTCATCTTCC